CTTCTAGATAGCTGTGGCTGACCTTCAGATTAAAAGTGCACGAAATAAGTTAGCATGACCCGCAGTTTTAGGTAATTCTCCCCAGATTTTGGTGTCTACAAAGTTCACCCGCCATTAGAATTAACGGGCTTTGCCGGGGTCGCTGATGAACGAAGTTCCATGATTAGCGTTGACCAACATCCTGCTAATCCAGCCTCAGTTTGCACTGGACTTCGCAGGGGAATGCGGGTGGTTGGAGTGTGTCACTGATATTTCGTACTCTTTTTTTTTCATCTGTTTGTTGTTTCTATTTTACTACTATCACTATCAAACCATTTTTTAACGATACGCTTGTTCTTAACTAAACTCACACTTTTAATCACACAGGACTATTAAAACAGCGAGAGAAATCTTCCTGGAGTGGAAACATTTTTACACCAGGAAATTCCCAAGGCAAAACCTTTTCCGCTACCTTTTTTTTTTTTCTTAAAGCATGTCTTTTTACTTTTTTCACCACAATCGACACAATTTAGATGATTCAGGGTGCGAGCTTCGATCCTGCCTGTCAGAGCCAACCCGAAATAAGAGGGACACATCATCCCAGCAAAAGGACCGAGATACTCGTTATAAAATCTCTCAACATGGGAATCGAGCCTGGGCTATGCCGCGTTGAAGTGCCTAACCTCTACACCACAGACGCGGGTTGCCGCTCCCGGTCGTGGTGAATTTGCACAAACTATGTGTATTCTTGCAGCGGAAAGTTGCACCATTTTTTCTGTCGATATCGATGTTCTTTTTACTTATTAGATGAGTAATGAATACATGTAGCGTGAATTTTTGTGTTCATTGGGCCTGTTTCACTCGACAAGTATGGAGACTTGTTGGTTTTTTTCTTTTTCGTTTTTTCCTTTTAATTTTTTTCTGATGTCAAAACAATTTATAAATTCAAGAAAAAAGAAACAAACAAAAAAAGCATGGGAAGCCGTCTTAGTACTTGTTCCCCCCAACCCACCTCCCTGTGCTAAGTAAACTATTTCAATTGTCCTTAGATTCATGGCAATAAAATTAATTCATTTATTAGTCACACCTGATTGGTATATTCGATACCATCACAATCCATACTAGCATTCAATCAAATCCAACTCAAATTTCCGAACTCCACGTTTTCTATTTTCAGAAAGCGAGAATGCAGGTTCATCACGTGCGTTTTTTGGGACAGGATAGATCGGCGGAACTCTGGTGTCACCGAGGACGTAATCAGTGAGGATTATGAAGGACCGCAGGGATCGTAAGTTTCTTCTTGTGGTCATCATCATCATCATCATCATCATCATCATCATCATCATCATCATCATCATCATCATCGTTGTCGACATCATTATCGTCATCATGGTCGTCATTTAGGTGGTTGACGGGTGCTCTGGTGTGGTTTGCTCTTTCTTTTCTATCACACATCTATCGTCCTTACCTCTCCTCCTTCAGGAGCTAACTGTGCGTCAAGAGCTCTTGTTCGCCCGTGTGTAACCTACCGTATAATTAATAATTATGCTCGCTATAATAACAGGAGCCATTTTTCCTCGAAAAAAAAAGCGACCTACAGCCAAGATTGGACCCAGCAAATGAGGATTACTGCAGAAAAGGATTTTCCATTGATCAATAACCAATATTCCGAACATCCGACCCCCAAGAGGGTGGTTTTCATTCTACTACTGGAATTTAAGTCGTCCATGCCAGTCGACAGAGCAAGTAGCTTTAAGCCGACCTGTACTTAATTTCACGAATGTTAGACCCCCTCCAACATAATGGCAGAAATTCATCCTCGTTTTGATAACGATAATAGTGATAACTACCTAGGCTCCCTTTCGATGAAAGGAATGATCGGTGCATTAACATCAACTGAAAGTCATTGGCCTACTATATTTACACCCCACTGGAATGGAGCAATAAATCTTGAGAGATGTTGAAAAAAAAATTAGAAGTTCTAGATCTATACTTTCAAAACAAAATACGCCTCGCGTAATATCATTTCTGTCACTTCCGTTGTGAAGGACAGCCACGCAGATTAATTGTTTCATTTCTTAGTGGATTAACCGCAAAGTGCAAAGAAGGACGGGAACTTTTTGTGAAATATATTTGTCCAAATTCAGGAAATGAATGTATCAAAAATTGGGCTCCGTCATGGGGGACCTATTTATCTTTTCGCAGGTACTTGCCACCTTTCAACTCGGTAGCTGTCGCAGTTTTATGGGAAAATTGACACATGTGTATCCAAGTTGCCAAATAGATAATAGTTACCATTTGTATAGTGCTAATTTCCTCTTAACAGCAAGCTCTATGCACCTTATAATCTACATGTTTATTATTACCCTTGCAGACTTGTTAGCATTCTGAAACAACCTCAACTTCCTGGGAACATACAGCGTAAGCTCCCATTTATAGGCGCTAAAACACTAACATACTGACAAGATCTTTCACTGTCTATGGCCGGGTACCTCTTCCCACCTGGGTGAAGTGAGGAGAATGCGTGTAAAGTTATACTCGCAACCTTCAAAAAATGGGCTGATTTCGGAGTCAAAGTAGAACCCCCCCCCCCCCCCTCACTCTAAATCACACGGCAAGTCGTATAACAGGTGACTATATGCGGTATTTAACAGAAATAAATGTTCCACGAATCCACGACTGTCATTTAGTGGGTGAGAATACTGATGATGCCCAGCATAACACTTAATAAGTATTGATATGTAAAACCCAATGCAAACCGTTAGAAGAGCTAAGTAAAATCCTTATTTGACGTGGTTTGACACATATGAGAGCGGCCAGATACATGTATGCCTTAATGAACGGACAAAAGCTTCCGTTTTGGGCACAGTCTGAGAAAATCCCTCATAATCTGACATGATTATCATAATCAGATTTATTTAACGTAAATCGTGACAAATCAGGAAGTAATTGCGTGTCACATTATTCATTATAGTGCAGAGTCTAGTTTTTGTTGTTGGTTGTTGTTGGGTTTTTTTACTTGAAGGGGGAGGGGTGTTTGTTGGTTGGTTGCTTTTTTCGGTTGTTTTCTTTGTTGTATTTGTTGTTTTTGTTGTTGTTGTTGTTTTTGTTGTTTTTGTTGTTTTTTGTTTTTCTTTTGTTTGTTTTTTTGTTTGTTTTGTTTATTGTTGTTGTTTGTTTTGGTGTAGTTGTTGGGGGGTGTGGGGGGAGGGGGGTGCAAGCATGATGTGATAGACCTATTGACCTTCGGGTCAAATACGACAAAACAGAATAATGCTCTTTTTGATACATAGACTTGTACTTCTAGATAACGCAGTGTCATGGCTGAAACACTATGTTATCTCTCTAAATTAGAGAAGAAAAAATTAAACAGAAAACTTCGCTGCGAAGCGTGTGCACCATAAGCCTCGCCGTTATATCCAAACGAAGGGCAAAACATCAACATTTTCCCCCTTGTACTTCATTTGGCCCTGATTTTAAGTCAAATAGTGCACTCCATAGTGAACCGGAAATACTAATACGTCAGAGTACACCGTCAAATACCGGATGTCCTTTGGCATTATCGGTTCAGTTCGGCTCCGTTCCGTTCGATTCGGTATTGTTGGTTATGGTTTGCCGGATTGTTTTCCACGGGGGGGG